ACACCGTACAGCAGAGTGGCGACAGGGATTTGCTGGTGAAACAGTCGTCAGCATTGTGTTGTCTTGTTGTGAATTATGTGCGTTGCGCCGGCTGTAGTATACAGATGCTATCTGGACACCTGAGGTACCGAGATGCGATGACCATTACTAGTCCAATGACACTAATAGTATGTATGATGTCATCGTCACACTATTAGTACGCATGATGTCATCCTCACACTTCACACAAATAGTACATTATGATGTCATCCCAGCACCAAGACTACATAGGCTCCTAAGAGCGTGCAACTCTGGAATCTGGATACCCTTTCTATGGGACACGCCGACGGCGAATCTCACATCATGTGGTGTAGTGTCGCAGTTGTACACTCCCAGCCCGCTTTTAGCGACTAGTGGAGTTGAAAAACAGCACTCCTGACAGAAACCCACTCAGCTTACGCGAGTCACCACGACTCACCAGCATGATCACCAGCATGATCATGACTCGCCAGCATGATCATGGCAGATATTCGGACTGCGCTCACGCTAGCCTTCGGTGCACGTAGTACAAATCGTACTTGGAACATTCTTTTTTTTAATCTTTTCCTTTTTCCTTATATATGTGTGCCTGTAGTCGATCTCATGTAATAAGGCAACACTGCCTGTTTGTTCTTCCAATCCAATCCAATCCAACATGTGATGTGAGTTTTTGCACACTCTGTGACTCTTGGCAGCTTTAATACTTGCTCTTGTGCTAAAATTTCTGAAATTAGAGTATTGTGCAATAAAATGCAGTGTAACAAGTCAGCCATTTGACTTACTGCATACTGGAAGTCTTCTCACACAGAGTGGCAAAGTCTTCGTTCGTGTCGCTGTAGAACCCAGCTAAGCGGCTGCTGCGCATCAAGAAGTGATTCCAATGTCCTCTGTTGTTGCCCACGGTGATCAGCGTCATGGTGATACCAACGACAACCAGCTACTCTTCGGCACGTGTCACCAGCGTGTTGAATATCTGCGGGGAAAAAAGACACAAAAAAGACACTGTGTACAGATGCTCACGCACTTTTACGCGTACACACACGTGCACACGTATGTTTGCACGCGGTCATGCACGCACACACACACATGAACGCATGCGCACACTCATGCACACACACACCCGCATACACACACACACACGCACGCACACACGCGCGCACACACACACACACCTCAGACCTCAGACATGCCCATCACAGAAGCGATGATAGCGAACAGCTATGTTACAACTTGTGCTGGGATTACACCATTCAACAGCTTGCAAGGCTGATGAATTGACCGCCACTATTTTTAGCCTGGTATCCACCACACAGCTGTTTGAAGTGACTTTTTCTGGCCAGTGTGCGACCATAATCGTCGGGAATTGAACCCGCAACCTCTCGATTGGAAATCGACTGCACATACCACTGCACCATATGGGACACACACACACACACACACACACACACACACACACACACACACACACACACACACACACACACACACACACACGCACACACACACACACACACACACACACACACACACACACGACACTCTACCCCTGACTTACAACAGAAGAGAGTGGTTATGTTTGAGAATGCCTCGTTACTACTTCAACACATTGCAGCACAATATTAGAATGTAGCCTAAAAAATCCATCGTTGACTCAAGAAACATTACTGCGGTGCTATTTCTTCTCCGCTCTGTACTAGAGGAATGAACGACGGGCGTGTGATGGCAGGATGGTTAAACTCTGTGCTCTCAAGGTTGGACAAATTTGCAAATCGTCACACACAAGTTTACAAGTTATCCGTTTTGTCCAACCACTAACAATTAAAGCAGGATAATGGTGAGTCAAAGTTTTTTAAAATTTTAAATCCTTGGCTCTCCGTCCGAGCTCAAGATTAAGAAGTCAAAGGCTAACATTTGACAAAAGGAATACTGTACAATGCATTTCAAAACTATTGACGCGTAGGGTTTTTGAAATATTTCAAATTTGGCTGGAACTTTTTGAGAATAGTTTTCGGAATATTGCTCAGGATCGCTCCACAATTACTCTCATATAGTTTCTAAAGCCAAGATTGGATAACAGACGCCCAATTTGGAAAAATTTATGCACAAAGTGATCACAGATTTTATGTGGTATAGATGCTGGCATAACGGTTTTTGCCTACAATTATATTTTTATAGGTACGCGTCTATAGTTTTGAAATGGACTGTAAGTATTTGTTATCGCATGGTTGCAAGGGCCTTATGGCATATTACTGCCCCGAGGGGTTAGCCCAAGGGCCGTAGGCCCGAGGGCTAACCTCGAGGGGCAATATGCCATAAGGCCCGCAACAACCATGCGATAACAAATTATTTTATCACATGGCCCACAGAGCAGACCATTGGGCTGCTGTTGAAATTAGCCCAAATGCCAACACATTATGACCACAATGCATATTGATGTGCTATCATTATCAAAACAGGAAAAACGAAGATATTTCTCCTACACCCTAACAAAAAGTCTGCTACAGGCCATCAGAGAGTATACAGTACTGAAAGACGGAGACAGAAAAGTGCCGGCACCGCATCGTCATAGCAATAGACATGGCAACGACAATAAATACAGCAAAATCATAATTTCAGTTGAAAAATTAAGAGTGCTACCACAAAGAGTTTCTTCATGTTTACATGTGTATCAGGAAGTTGTCAAATACAGTACTGCAACAAGTGCAAGTATTTGACGACTCCCTGGTGTGTAATTCTGAGGACAATTTTTCTTCTTTTTTTTCCAGCTCCAGATAGCTGTATTTTTCATTGCAAAACATTCCTGAATTGTTGTGTTTGTTGTTCAAGCAAAGGTGAAGGCAGAGGACAGATGAGCCTGGTAAGAGTTTTGCGTGGCACATGAAGACCACACACAGGCAGTGACTTTGCGAGGATCTGAAAACGCACGACGCCAAGTTGAATTTGTGTTGTTTCGATTAATTGTTTGTGACCACAGTACCACTTCGAGCAGAACTGAATCTTATCCAAAAGCTTACCGACGGTCAGGCTGGCAACATGACTGAACAAATGATCCCTGCAAGCACCACACGGCAGACATCCGAGGCCATGTCTATTGCCGGGATGTCCATCTCCAAAAAGAATTCCATCTTCGTCTCAATGCTACACTGCGATTCGTCGTAGAGTCGTACATTCTACAGATTCGTCGTAGTCACGCGAGGAAAGCTAAGATCACCACTTTCGACCACGCGTTCACATGTCACGCTGCGCCGTACTGTCACCATGCCCACCATGTTCACATCCCGTAGATTTCACGCGTACAGTCTCAGTCAGGGTTGTGTCTTTGTGGTCCACTTCACAACAATAACACACACAGAAGTCTCTGCTGTGAGCACGGTACGGTGGCTCGGCAATGGGGAAATCCCAAAATCGGTGCGATTTTGCATGAGCCCAAATGTTCAGGTTACCCACAAAGACACAAGCTTTCCAACTCTCTTTGGCCGTTGGAAAGCGTACCCACTGACGACGGGCTTTGGACGCGGGCGTAGGACTGATTTATTGCCCGCTCATACAGACCAGTGATTGGCCCGACCCAAGGAAACACTCACGTGACATGTGATAAATAATACACATGAGAAAAAGTGAGTCACGTGTTGGTAAAACTGTGCGAATATGAGTCACGTGCACCGTAAAAGTATAAAATCTTCCAATTTCCAGCGAACACACCGATATTTTGCTCCGTTTTGCCAGCAAATTTCCTTTCAGAATTCTTCGATATTTTGCTAGCAGAATTGCTAGCAAAATCGGGCTATGCCTAATGCAGGCCAGGATCGACAAGTTTTTTTTCCGGAAAAGAAAGGATGTTCCGATTGATGACACTCTTCAACGAACTTCGAATCGTACACGTATAGTTCAAGCTCCTCAGAAGATGAGGGCTCCGACATCCAAGCAAAGTCAGTAATCTCTACCTGCTGCAGCATGCAGTAGTGACTAGTTGTTACTCCGCAGGAACGGAGTGCTGCGCCAGCGATGTGTTTTAGATGGCCTTGAACGGATTGTCGAGACGACACTGTTTCGCTGTTGTTGTTTCTGTCAAGTGAAGACAATGCTCCTGTGATTATAGAGCATTTCGCATCGTAAAAATGCTAAAAATTTCCGAAAGTACAAACGGACAGGGAAAGTTGTCATTTCGGCATTTCTGGCTCTCAACGAACCCATGGCTTGCATATTCGATCTTTACAAGAAAAGTTGAAAGGGTCTTCAAGCCCTCACTGAACCTGTGTGCCAGTCGATTGCAAACATGTATATGATTATGTGTCCATACTAAATTAATAATGTATATATTATATACAATGTAGGGTAAGCAGCAGCATTTGGCCCTGTACAGGTTTTCCATCGTCCACCACACCACAACTGCGCTCTCCAGCAATGGTGCAGTGGTGGTGTGCTGTGGCAACGTGGAGAGCGCAGTTGTGGTGTGGTCGATGATGGAAGAATATGTGTCCGTAGTTTGTTTGAAAAGCATGCGATTCCAACTAACACAATCGGATTGTCGTAATTACAACCGCACAACTTCAATACAATCTAATTCCATAATACTTTGGCTGTTCAATTTTGGTTCAACCGGAACCCCCCTGTAGAGATCTCTGGATCCGCCCCTGCCTACATCTAGTACATGTACTAGATCTACATCTGACTGTACACAGCTAGCTACTATGTCGTGTCCGGGTATTGCTGCATGTACATGTACGTATTTTTGTATTGTATTGTATTATATTATTTTACTTGGGCATTCCCAACAGACCCTAAGGTCTTCTTACAGGGTGCCCAAGATGAATGAACTTGTTAAGTTCCTGGCGAAATGAATTGGGGATATGATTTGTGCGAAGGGATTCGGGAAGCGCATTAAAGCGGTCAGCACCAAGGAATGAAATAGATCTGTAACCAGCTTGAGCTTGCACAATGGGTAAGGAAAGGGAATAATTGACTTGGCCGCGGGTTACTCTGTCTGTGTGAGCGCAGTCACGGCGAAGGGAGAACATGTCAGAGAGGAGTGAACTGCAGATATTGTGGATGCAACGGAACACGAAGAATATGGACTTAGTATGATATCTTTTGTCTAAGCTAATTATGTGGTATCGCTCAAGCAAGTATGATGTCCGCGTGAATGTGTCATGCTCAAATATGCATCTAAGTGCTCTCTTACTTATGCGTAGCAGCTGATCTCTCACATTGTCAGCGAGGCAGTGGACGTAGGCAGTGCTGGCGTACTCGAGCTTGCTCTGGACTACTGACAAGTAGAACTGCCTTCTGGCCTGGACAGCAAGGTTCCTCCTTCCACGTCGAAAAGCACCTAGTTTCTTTCCGATGTCTTCCCTGAGGGAGTTAGCGTGGGCACTGAAACTTAAAGTTGAATCGAGAGTCAGTCCTAGATACTTAACTTCGTGCGTCCATGGATGCGCGCTTGTTCGCTGGCAGGTCAAAATTGACAGAATTCCCCCAAAACTCTTCTGAAGGTTAATGGATCTGGCAAAAGATCGATAGAATTCCCCTAAAATTCCCAAAAAATTTCTCGACGATAGTATTCCCAAATTATTCCGGGAATAATCCGCGCACCCCCAACTGTGGCAGGTTTAAAAAAGAGAAAGATTTTTCATTCCAAACAATTGAGTATCAACCAGACTGTATTGTGCCATTGTAAATAGGTGTGCGTGTGTGTGTGTGTGTGTGTGTGTGTGTGTGTGTGTGCAGGCAAGAGAAAGGCATGCGTTCCTTGCCGTCGAGAAAATCGAGTCACGCTGAAAAACTAAAAAGCACATCATATGCTAGCAGCAGGACAGCAGCTCAGGATCAGTAGGTGTGCGCGGCGGCGGCGAGGGTGAACGTAACAAATCAACGTGCGGGGAAAAGCTGTGTGCACGGCGAAGATAGCATGTACATTTGCATTACCGGCTTTACTGGCCTGCGTACACGTCATGTCAACAAGTAAAACAAGTATGTAGAAATCACAGCACTCTTTAAAACAATCCACAAAAACAAAACAAAAAACAATCCATAGAAAACATTTGACATAACAATTACAGCTTTTGTGATAAGGTCTGTTCGATCTGACGGCTCATGTTATGTTGTTTTTGTTGTCATTTATCATTTTGGACATGAACTGTTAGCGTGGTTCATCACTGTGCCTGCTGGCCCACTCATCCCCGCTAGTACTAGGACTAAGAGAACTACTATTACTACAACAGGTCATCCGCTATACGCACACATACATAATAGATTTAAGCACAGAGAGAGAGAGAGAGAGAGAGAAAAAAGAAGAAGCCATGATTGAACAGCAGAGCCATGCTCAAACAGCAGGTACAGATGAATAGCATCACTGTATAGCAGAATCATATTACGTGAAATCTTTCAGGCCCTATGATGGCGGCTCAGAGTTAAAACTTGGCGGATTTTCGTGCAGTTCAAAGCGTTCGGACTTCAAGAACTGATTGATCAAAACAAACTGAAGAGTTGACGGGAGGAGAAGGGCGCGTACGTGTAGCACTGTGCTCATGTGATACTGCCTACTTGAATGTGATCGGACTGAGGCTAATGGTGTGAACCGCCGCCCAATGATGAACTTGTATTCATATCTCACGGATCTGAACAGACAAGAGAACAGACAAAGAACGTATGTGAACAGACAAGTACCCACACGCACATGCACAGACACACACACACATGCATGCATGCACACACACACACACACACACACGCATATACACACACTCACAAACGCACACACACACACATAAACACACACGCACACACATGCACACATACACATGCACACACACATGCACACACACACATGCACACACACATGCACACACACATGCACACACCTTCCTTCCTTTCCTTCTTCCACTGCCATGACTGGCTATGTGGCCCCATACGGGGCAGACCAGTAGACGTGTTGTGCACCGGGCGGGGAACGCCAGACTCAGCGCGCGCGGGTCGCGCGAACAGCGTTACATTTGTGCCTCCCAATATCCTGTGGCCGACGAAAACTGCGCGCACAAGTGCCACAGATGAGGGGCTTCGCCACAGGCTCCATGCGGGACTGGACAATAGCGTCGACAGCGTCACGGCAGGTGACCCGCCATCCCTGTCGATCTTGGACCATGTCACCAAGCTGCTCCAGAGGAACACGAACAGCCATCAAGTCGCACTTCGCGGAGTCCTTCCAGCGCTTAAGGGGTCCATGCGGTGGATGTTTGGACGGTAACGCGCGGTACAGCAGCTGATGAGGGATTCGGTCTTGCATGCAGGACACGTGGCCAAGCCATCGAAGTCGGTGGACTATGACTTTATCCGCGATCTCATTCATAGTGCCCTACATCTTGCAAACCTGAAGAGAGGAGATGTGCTCCTCTATTTAACTTGAGGATGGAGCGCACGCACTGCAGGTGAAAGTACTCCAGGCGATGGAAATCACGCTGCCTGACGGTCCAACTCCACGATCCATAAAGAAGGACGGCCAGGAAAGTCACTCCATACACAATGCGCTTGATGGCGATGCTGAAGTCATCACTGTCGAAAACCGACTCCCGCAGCGTACAGAATGCACCCGATGCAGCAGCAACTCGCCGAGACACATCAAACGAGCTCTGGGCATCTGGCATAACATGACAACCGAGATAGAGAAAGGCCTCAACGTGGTCAACAACACCATCCAAAGGGGTCTGGTCGGCATCTACAGTACTAGCCCCAGCCGCCATGAATTTGATCTTGGACATATTGACACTAAGGCCAAACGCGCCAGCTACATCCCTGAACGAGGATAGAGCCCTCTCAGCACTAGCATGCGTAACTGCGAGCAGGGCTGAATCATCCGGAAACTGACACTCCGTCAGCCGAATTCTGCGATGCTCTGCAAATCTGGTGTTGAAAAGCCCCTCTCTTTCTTCTCTTTCTTTCAACACACACACACACACACACACACACACCACACACACACACCACACACACACACACACACACACACACACACACACACACACACACACAAACACACACAAACACACACACACACACACACACACACACACACACACACCTTGGACACCCAACGCCAGAGGCGATGATAGCGATGCTACAGCAGAAGCCATAGCAGCTTGTGCTGGGATTGCACCATTCAACAGCTTGCAAGCCTGAAGAAATGACCGCCACTATTCAGCCTGGTCTACACCACACAGCTATGAAGTGGCTTTTTCTGGCCAGTGAATCCCTACTTTTTGGTCTTTTTTCATTTTTTTCACGCACACACATCACACCACGTGGCCACATACTCCGGCATGCACTGCCGGGCTGTTGGTAACCACCCAGGAGAATTAAAGAAAAGTCAGGAGGAGTCTGAGAAAGAGAAGAAAGACGTGTGTGACCATAATCGTCGGGAATCGAACCCGCAACCTATCGATTGGAAATCGCTGCACATACCACTGCACCATATGGGACACACACACACACACACACACACACACACACACACACACACACACACACACACACACACACACACACACATTGAATGCGAAATATCAACTGCCAAGAGAAGCAAACGTCAGCAGCAGAGTGAAGGCCAATCAGCTACCCTACTACCCATCCCCTCCCCACCCCATTGCCTTTGCCACCACCCTACTACCCATCCCCTTCCGTATTTTTCCGGTGTTAAGTCGACCTTTTACAACTAAAAATAGAAAGAGAAATTGTGGGGTCGACTTACAACCGGGATTCGACTCATAACCAGGAACTATCAGTACCTTACAAAAAATGACCTGAACCACATGTACGAGTGCACCATGTGTACAAATTTTTGCCAGTTTATTGGCTTTTTTCAAGGATTTGGACGTTATACTCTCCAACAAGGAATGTTTACATGATTTGTTGATGTGTTAGTAGCAGGGAATGGTTAATAGTGCTTCGTTGGGTGAAAACTTTAAAATGCAGAATTGAGACCTCCGGATACGGGGGTTGACCTATAACCGGGGTCGACTTACAACCAGTAAAATACGGTACGTGTGCAAGTGCGTGTACGTAACACACACACACACACATACACACACATACACACACCTTGAACCTTGAACCTTGAACCTTGAACCTTGAACGCCCATTGCCATAGCAATGATAGCGATGGCTTCCTCACGCTGAGGCTCTAAACTCGAAATCTTCAGTATGGCGCATGCCGCTTGAGGTCACCAGGACGACGGAACACTCTGTCACAGCGGTAGTTGGGGCACGGGATGTCTGGGGCCTCCTTCTCGACCCTCTGTCGACAACACTGAAACCAGGTGGATCTCTCCTGCGCTGTGTCATACCAGTCCGCTTCAGGCAAACCAACGACAGCAAAGTCCGAGGACACAACATCCCGCCAGCGCTTCTTGGGACCATGTTGCGGGCGTTTGCAGGGCAGTTCGCCGAACAGCATCTGCTTGGGCAGCCGGGTCTCCTTCATCTGTGCAACATGACCATGTCTCCGCACCGTAGAGAAGAGCAGGAAGGGCGATAGCACGATACACCAGCCGCTTGGTGTGGACCGAGAGATGTACGCACTGAAATATTGGAGACCTGAGCACGCCGAACAGCAGGGATGCCTGCGCCAAACGAGCAGCGAGGTCCGCATCCACCGTTCCGTCAGCAGAGAGCACGCTGCCAAGGTACCGGAACCCGTCCACCATGTCAATCCTGCTATCACCACCGAGTTGAACGGGATCAACTGATGTTGGTTGACCCACCGCCATGCCCTTCGTCTTCCTAATGCTGACAGTCAGTCCCCATCGCTGTGCACACAAGATGAACTCGGACGTCATGCACTTAAATCTCTCTCTGGTGGTTGCATACAACGCTGCATTATCGGCGAACTGGGACTCAGTCACCCTCGTCGCGGATAACCGGGACTTCGCCGTGCGGTCCCCAACCAGCTTGCGACCGTTTCTGAACAGCAGGTCGACTCCAGCGTCTGGACAACGTGCGCGCCAGTCCGCAACCACCACACTGAAATACAGGTTGAAGAGGGTGGGTGCTAGAGTATATCCTTGACGCAGCCCATTAGATGTTGTCGGAAAGCTTACCGTTGACTCGCACCTTCGCAATCATACCCTCATGAAGGGACTTGATGAGTCCCAACATAACCAGCGGGACACCCAGCCTATCCAGCACACTCCAGAGCGCTGTGCGGGGGATGGAGTCGTACGCCTTCTGAAGATCTACAAACAAGATGTAAAGAGACGTATCGTGCTCAATAGTCTTCTCCACTAATTGACGTGCACAGAAGATCATGTCCGTGCAACCTCGACCTCGCCGAAAACCACACTGAGAATCCGGAAGAATTTCCTCAGCCACAACCTGCAAACGGTCCTGCATAACCCGGGCAAACACCTTTCCAGCGACATCCAGTAAGCTGATGCCCCTCCAGTTATCGCAGTAGCGAAGGTCACCTTTTTTGGGGACAGGGACCACCACCGCATTCCGCCAATCATCCACTACTGAACCCTTGGCCCAGATGTCACCCAAGAGTTGGTGGAAAGCAGCAAGAAAGTCTGCTCCAGCGTGGACTAGCATATCCGGCAATATGCCCGATTCACCACCAGCTTTACCGAGGCTCAGCTTCTTGAGAGCACGGCTAATTTCTTGGTGCGTGGGCGGGTTATCTAACTCATGGCGGGTAGGATGGCGTTCCAGGGACTCCAGCGAACTGTCGGAAAACTGATTTGTGATGTTGAGGACACCATCAAAATGCCGCTGCCAGCGGTCACAAGTCGCAGCAGGGTCGGTCGTAAGGTTACCATTCTCGTCCATCACAGACAAGGGACGTGCTGGCTTACGGCCAACATTCACTTCCTGTAATTGGCGGACACATTCCCACCGCATCCTGCTATGGCAATCCAAGTTGTCAACATGGGTGGCGACCCGTTCGATTCACGCTTCCTTGGCAGCATTCACGGCACGCTGCACTGCCCTTTGCTGCATACGAAACACCAGCTTGCTATCACGAGTGTCCTTCTGAAGGAACTCCTGGTGTGCCGCATTCTTCCGCTCAATCAGAGGCCTGAGGGTATCTGCGCTGTCACGGAACCAGTCCGGCTGTCGTCGTGTCTCGTATCCCAACACCTCGCTGGAAGCCGCCACCACGCATTTGCGCATTGCCGCCCACTCCTGCTCTGTGTCCACACCACCATCCACGTCCACAGCCTCAGCAGGCAGGAGATCAGACACTTTCTTTGAAAACGCCTTACTCACTTTGTCATCCCTCAGCCTAGCAACAGCAATTGGACGGGATCTTGCAGATGCCACGGGATTAAACCTCTTGTGACCGACCTCGTAACTAAACTTGCCACGTACCATGGAGTGATCCGGCCCGCCTTTCGCACCACGCATCACCTGCACATCATGCCACTCACTCCTCTGATCCGCACGGACAACAACATAGTCAATCAGGTGTACCTCCTTCGTAGCTGGGTGCATCCATGTGCCATAAAACTTCTTCCTGAACCAGGTGTTCATAACAGAGAGACGGTTTACATTACAAAATACTAGAAGATCCTCCCCAGCAGCGTTGCATTGTCCAATTCCATGTGGGCCAACTACGTCACTCAACGACCTGTCACAAAAGGAATTGACACCCACTCGCGCATTGAAGTCGCCCAAAATCACCAGTCGGTCAGTACGAGGCACTGCGTCGATAACAAGCTGCAGATCGTCCATGAATTTGTTCTTGATGTGTGGAGGTGCTTTCGATGTCGGAGCATACACGTTCACGACAGTGAGATACGACTCTGCCCTGGCACGATGAAAACCAGTGGGCAACGACCCGTCACCAGTGTCGAAAGATTAGAATTCCCAATCTCTCGATTTATCAACACAGGTCACAAGTCCGATCTCACCTCTACAGGTGGCACACATCATAGGACAAATGAGTCTGTAGTAATCGCTCTTTCCAGAATAATACTAGAGAACAACAAAACTGAAAACCACTCGTGTCCAAGAAGAGCAGCATAAAAACCCACCACCGTGGGAGAAGCAAACACATTCGCAAAAGCGCGCCAAACTGTGCTGCATGCACGTGCCTTGACAAGTACATGTACAGTCATGCATACGTGGGCCAGAACAAGTCATACAAAGCACGGGAACGTGGGCATGGAACTAGCGTTTTGTACTGAAACAAGAACAGGCACAAACATGATACAAATCGTGCGACAAGGTCGCCGCGACAACCAGCTGATAGATGAAAGCGAGCGCTGACAATTCTTGAACTTACTGCCGACCAAGTCTCGCCCGCGCGTTTCCAGGCCCTCGTCATCTCGTTGTTGAAATAAATTCCAACGCCCTCACCCCGCTGTCCACTCTCGTCATCAACAGGCAGTGGACACCCCGAGTGAACGAATGTTCCTCCACAGGCAGGCCACACATCAGACCCGAACCATTTCGTCTCCTGCACGCCAGCAATTCCAACGTGACACCTTTAAAATTCCGAGACAAGCAAATCCAACTTTCTATCAACCGAACACTCTCCAACTCGCTTCCTGCATACTCTGACGTCTCTGCTGGACTCGAGGAGTGTCCTGACGTTCCAGGAGGCCACAAACACCTTTCGTCTCTCAACATTCTTCTTCGCTCTCGCCATAAACAAATTTTGAATTTTCGAATTTCTCCGCGTGAAGAAGCCAACTCGTGCCGTGTGTGTTCAACAAACAGCTCTCAGCAGGGGGCAAGCCTGCTGTAGAGCGCCACTACAGCCATCTCCTGGTCTACACCACATGGAGATGGACTGTGTCCTGTGGCAAACTCAAGAAACAGGAGCACCAAAAAGTGCAACCGTTCTTCTCCAGACCAGAACACACACATACACACACACGCACACACACACACACACGCACACACACACACACACACACACACACACACGCACACACACGCACACACACACCTGCACACACACACACCTGCACACGCCGCACACACTCGTCTACAGCATTCTTACGTAAGAGTCGAGTGCCGGCGTGGCAGTGGCAGGATGCTGTGCACCAGGAGGAGGAGGCAGCATTCTCACTTGACTAGGTAGACCGGGTAGAGGATACGGTGACGGTGCGTAGCTAGGTAATGCTTGACCAGCAGCCGCTGCTGCTACTACATGCTGATAAGCCGCTGCGGCTTGCTGATAAGCCTTTGCGGCTTCCGCACACTGATAAGCTAATAATATGGTCCTATCAAGAAGGATAGTGAGACACCCATGATTGCCTGCTGCCAAATAAGGATATGTCTGCCGCTGCGTAAGAGGAGAGTAGGCACCAGAAGCAGCAGCAGTAGCAGACACGTTCCAATGTGGCAATGCGTGCATTCCCGGCATTGTGTGCATTCCCGGCATTCCCGGCATTGTCATTGCCTGAGGAGCAGCGTGTCTTGGAGCTAGTGCTGCTGCTGCTGCTGCTGCTGCATTATGATATTGGGCATAGTATCCAGGAGGTATGGAGCGGTCGCGGTGGTCTCTTGTCGATAACGACACCGTTAGTGATGATGATGGCTGCACTGTCTGTGACCGGGTCTGAGGTCTCCTTTGCTCTGCCTGTTGTGCTTCCAATGTACCGTCTTGCTGCTGTCGCTTCTGCTGTCGCTGCTGCTGTCGCTGCTGCTGTCTCCGCTGCTGTTGTTTTTGTTTAGGTGTGCGTGAGGAACTATCTTGCTGCTGCTGCTGCTGCTTGGGGTGCTGTGGAAGATCATCCTGCTGTGGTGCAATTGTCAGTGCCTGCTGTTGCCGCTGGTGACCAGGAAGCAGTTGCTGCTGCTGCTGCTGACCATCAGTTAGCAGTGGACCACTGGAAAGCGCAAGCTTATCTAACTTGCCCAACACATCCCTGTGCTCGTGTGCAAGATCACACAGCTTGTCATGATCCTACAGATGTAAATAAACACATACACACACACACATACACGCACACACACACACACACACACACACACACACACACACACACACACACACACACATACACGCACACGTGCACGCACACACACACATACCCACATGCACACACACACACGTGCACACACACACACACATGCACACACACACACACATGCACACGCCCACACACCACACAGCGTATCACATGTATCAAACATGGAAGTCTATAGGTCACATGCATACTTGCTGCTTGCCTACAAGACTATCTGTCAATCACGTCACATGGCTCAAGCGTAAAGCAAACAATACAGTGGGAACAGCGTACATATATGGGGAGACAGTCGGCACCGCTAGTCAATGTCGTCGGGCGCGACTTCCTGTCTGTTGTGAACCTCACGATTTAACCAGGCGACTGGTGTACGCATGAGCACGTGACCGCTTACTCGCCCGTGTTCAAATGGGAATAAGGGCCGAACGCTGCATCGTAGCCTTTTCGGACCAAACCAGTCGACGCAGCGTCCAAAAGACTACAACATATGAACCAATCCCGGTCATCCATGCTTTTATAAGACGGAAACGGCGCTTTTAGTGACATTTTGCATACAAATCCCCATCTAGTAGGGCGCAGTCACTCAGTTTCGGTGGAAGTGGCGAGTTCGATTGGGAATAAAGGAGGAAGGGAGCGTCTCAGCTTTCTCGGACCAAGACCATTCGACTCAGCACCCCGAAGACTACAACTGTTGATTTTACGGTATACTTCCCCTTTAATAGTGTCGCGACTGAATTTGGGCTAACGGTCAGTTCATCGAAAACCAAGCTTCTCGTGGCTGGTTCCCACGCCTCTGCAGATGATTGTGCGCCTTTGGAGCTCGCGGGTGTTGATATTGAGTGTGTCCCTAACTTTAAGTACCTAGGCTCCATCATACAGTGTGGCGGGTGATCGTCTTTGGACGTAGATGCTCGTATAGACAGCACTTTACGGGTTTGTCGTCCATTGAGGAGTTCCGTTTTTAACAACCGGCACCTGGATACCCACATCAAGAGATGCGTGTTCAACGCTTGCGTGATGTCGCTATTGCTTTTCGGTTCCGAGTGTTGGACACCTCTCCAACGTGATTTGCAGCGCCTGTCCGTGTTTCACACGAGATGTGTGAGGTCGATTCTTGGCGTATCCCGTTCACAGTGCTGGAGGGATCACATTTCCAACGTACAACTGTTGGAACTGTGGGGTGATCCTGAGCCACTCAACATCAAGGTTGCGAACCGCCGGCTGGAGTGGTTGGGCGATGTGGTCCGCATGGAGTCGGAGAGGATGCCGCGTCAGGTCCTATTCGGGACAATACTTGCTTGTCGCCCGGGTCCATGGTCCTCGGCGCCGCTGGAAGGACTGTGCAGTGTCCGATCTCAAGTCCCGTGATGTATATGATAGCTGGTATGCAAGTGTACGGGAGTCTCGCGCCGAGTGGAGGTCAGTGTACACCTCCACAGACGCTGATGCATCTTCTTCGCACAGCGGCCTTAGGAATGCGGCTGCTGCACACAACTGCTCTGTGTGCAAGAGGTCTTTCTCGCGCCCCCAGGATCGTGCCAGGAACAAGTGTACTGCAGTGCGTACAAAGCCAGTGAATGAACAGCGCGGAGCATGTTCGTGTGATCGCTGCGGCCGTTGGTTCTTGAGCCGTGGTCACCTTGCCCGTCACAAATGCGTGGCTCAGTCCCCAGCCGCAGTGGAACCGTGTTGTGGCGCCCACTGTGCGTCCTGCGGCCGCTGCTTCCGTTCGGTCCAGGGCAGGAATAGACACCACAGCTCAGGTTCTCCCCCGGTCATACGTCAGTCTCGTAGTAACAGTCGTAGGTGACCTGAATCCTGGCGATCTCTCGTTGTTTGTGTCCCGGACGCCGTGGGACGGCGTTCTCATCTTCTCTCTCCGTTGCTCCGCCGCTTCTTCCCAGAAGCCTGGCTGGAATATGATAAGCATTTCCGGCAACTGGCCGCACGTGACCCCACCAAACAGTGGGACCTCATTGACCACAACCTGTGGCAGCTTTGCACCACGGGACAGGCACGACCATCCTGCCCAGCCTGCCGTATGGTACACCCGATGGGGTCGGGTCGTAGCCCCTTTCGTCCATCCAGCAGCTACGGATCCGGTCGATCAACAGCAACTCCTGGAGCGCAAGCACCCACATCCAACCTGTCCTTCCACGGCCGTCCCATCTGTAGGAACTTCAACTACTCCACCTGCCGGGGCCCCTGCCCCCGCGCCCATGTTTGCCTACAGTGTCATGGCAAGCACCCGGCCAGCACCTGTCAAACCCACGCAGCCGGCAGCAACGCCAGGAGAACGGGAAATGGGTCCAACCCAGGCTCCCGCAGTGTCCAACCTGCCCCGCGTTCCTGAGGCTGCATCGCCTTCCAGGACACCCACGCACTCCACACACCGTTCCCCAGCACCCCACTGCCCGGCACCACTGCATATTGTCAACTCACCTATAGCTGTCCCGCTTGCACCTAGTCTTCCGGTTTTGGATCACCTAGTAACCACACCGCTGCATGTACCACGTTTCCGCAAACTGCTCGCGGCGCACCCTGACACATCTTTCTCATCTTATGTATTATCAGGCCTCACTGACGGTTTCAACATCGGTCACACGGGCCCTCGCCGATCAATAATTTCACCAAACCTATCTTCCGCGAAAGGTCAGGAAGACTACATCGCATCCCACCTCCAAGACTGTGTCGCCAGCGGCCAAACCGCCGGCCCGTTCTCTACTTGCCCGTTCCCCGCCATGTAATGTTCTGGTCTGGGCATTGTGCCGAAAAAGAACGGTCGCCTGCGCGTCATCCATCACTTGTCTGCACCCGCCGGCAGTAGCGTCAACGACCATATCAGCTCCTCCGACTACAGCTTGCAGTACGTCAGAGTCGACGACGCGATACGTCACATCTTGTCAGTCGGCCCGGGCGCCTTACTCACAAAACTGGACATTCGGAACGCGTTCCGCCTGATACCGGTCCGCCCACAAGACTGGCCACTCCTGGGCATCCACTGGAACGACCAGTTCTTTTATGAGCGAGTGCTTCCGTTCGGACTGCTCTCCAGCTCGTTTATATTCGACAAAGTAGCCACAGCCATCGAGTGGATCATACAGTTCCACTTCCGCATCCCGGCCCTCCTGCACTATCTGGACGACTTCCTCTCCGTATCCACGGGTGACCTGTCCCTCGCAACCCAGCACCGGGAGATAATTGTAGCTGCCTTCGAATACCTCCAGGTGCCCCTGGCTATGGAAAAGCTCGAGGGCCCGGCAACCATCTTAACTTTCCTCGGCATCTGCCTCGACACGGTCTGCATGGAAGCTCGTCTCCCACATGACAAACTGGCCGAGCTGCGAATGCTCCTCACGGAGTTCAGCTCCCTCCGCTGTACTACTGTGGCAAAGTTCGCCTCATTCCTGGGCAAGCTTACCTTTGCCTCAGCGGTAGTCACGCCTGGCCGTACCTTTATGCGTCGCCTCTGGGACGTGTCAAAGCGATTCCATGGAGCCCCCGCACACTACAAGATTGTCCTGAGCGCCGAGTGTAAGAAGGACACCCAGTGGTGGTTCACACTCATTCGCGACTGGAACGGGAAGTCCTTCTTTCTCTCCCTGAATATCACGCCGGCGACTGAACTTGGCTTGTTCACTGACGCCAGCGGCTCCATTGGCTGGGGAGCGTTCTACGGCAACGAGCAGCGATGGATTCAGGGCCGATGGCATGCAGACGATCAGCCTAAGTCCATCGAGTTCAAGGAGCTCTACACCTTCACTGCAGCGTTCGGTGCCTGGGGCGAAAAGTGGGGCCGTCGGCGCATTGTCATCCACTGTGACAATCGGTCAGTTGTCGACTGCGTTGCCTCGGGAACATCCAAATCCCCGTCGGTCATGTTGTTGCTGCGCACCCTGTTCATGATTTGTGCCAGGCATGATTTCACTGTTTCTGCAGACCATGTACCAGGAGTTTATAACTGTATTGCGGATGCTTTGTCTCACTTTAACATGCAGGAATTCCGGAAGCTCGCACCCGGGGCCCGGGCGCAGCCGGACAAAGTCAACGTCTCGCGCTACTCGGTCTGAGTAGCCAAGTGGCACACTACGCTGGACTAGCAATTGCGCCATCGACCCGGCGGGCTTACAGCCACGGTGTCCGCAGATACCTCTCTTTCTGTGACCTGTGCCGGTGCCAGTCACTACCCGCCACCGATGCCGTGCTTTCCAGCTTTGCCGCTCACCTGGCCCAGTCACTGAAGCCCCTAATCTGATTTGTAATTATGTCGCGGCTGTCCGCAATTATCACCTGGAGTGCGGACACCCAGACCCGACTGAGCATGCCACCCTGCTGCCCAGGGTCCTGAAGGGCATCAAGCGCAGCGGGGGTACCACCCCCCGACTGGCTGAGGCTGCCACTGACCAGCCTCTTGGTGAGAAAAGTCGTGGATGGCCTTACCCGAGACACCTCGGTCACAACGATTGACGGCAAGATGCTTCCGGCAGCTATACTCCTGGCGTTCCACGGCTTCCTCCGTTGCTCGGAGTTCCTTGCCGACAGCTCACTATCGTTCAACCCTCGGTTTGAAGCCACCAGAGACAGCGTCACGTTCTCGTCCCTCAGCCAGCAGCCCGTACTGCAGTTCCGGATCAAGCGCTCCAAGACAGACCCTTTCGCAAGCGAGGGCGCCCTATTGTCCCGTTAGGGCCATGCAAGAGTACCTGTCACTCTTGTCACACTCCAGTCAGCAACCACTGTTCTGCTACGCCTCCGGCACGCCACTGACTCGCGAGAAGCTTACGGAGAAGCTCAGAAGCCTCCTGCTGTCGGCCGGCATAAGCAACGCCAAGGATTATGCGGGGCACTCGTTTCGCATAGGGGTGGCGACCTCAGCTTCAGCATGCCGCATCCTAGACTGGCAGATCCGAATCTTAGGCCGCTGGCAGAGTGACAGCATGCTACGCTACATTAGAACGCACTCCGCAGAACTGGCCTCTGTGGCCAGGACTCTGGTTGAGGCACCGATCTAAGTCCCCGGCTGCCTAAGAAGTAAGAACACAATGTGAGCCGAGCCAAGCAAAAAGGTGGCTTAGGCATAATTTTTGGAAATTTCTTTTTCCATGCCAAAGTGATGTCTACCTATCCAACTTCCATTAGGAAAATTTTGGTGCCCATCTGAAATGTATATGTGCCATAAATACGTATACATTGCGCACATGTCACAGCATACCTGGTATCAATGACACTAAGGATTTGAAGACTGGCCCAAACTCCCAAAATCATGGGACACCAAGTGGAGACAAAGCTTAGCAGGTGTGGAAGCAATACAAGAAGAACCAGCACTTGTGTTCTAAGTAGAAGATCCAAAGAATAAAATAATTGATCTATGTATCTCATGTCATTTCTTCACGCACCACGAATTTTCATATCCTTCATCGAATAAATGATGTTGTGAGTCTGTGACTATATTTTCGCTGGGCTGGGATACGTCGCATCTAAGTCTTACCAAGACAGTCCGTTACTCTCTCCGATCACCTATGCCAGCATGAATTAATCCTTTCATGTAGCTCGTAGTGTTGTGCCAGAGATCGAGCTCCATCCGTCCCTTGCACGTACGTGTAGGTCCAGCAGACAGCACATCGCTAAAAAGCGGCACTGATTCCTTGTCCGTCCTAGTCCATGTCATTCTCCTTCCCTGGTGCAGGTAGTGGTAGAAGGCACCACAATAATGCTTACAGGTAGAGTCAATTCGTCGCTTCGTCGTGTGGCACCATTGGCCTTGAAATGAGGAAATTTTGGAATACAGTACGCCACGTCATGAACATTTGAAGGTGCCGAAACAAAGTGAAACATCGCAGCAAGAGCCAACTCACTAGGCAGCTTGTCAGAATGATAGTCGGACGGCTTGTACACGTCTCCCCATAGCTATACTAGCCGCTCTAGTCGTGGCCACGATGAGAAACACGGCCACTATGAATGAGCGAATCTTCCTCGTCAAGTGGGGTTAGGCGCACACGGAGACAGGGTGTCATC